ACCCGGGTCATGGGATATGACTTCCCAGTGCCCGGCCATCCAGGCCAAATGGGCGTGAAGCCCCAGGACTTCGTGTGGGACTGCGGGAATTGCATCTCAAAGCCCTCTTGGGTGGTGATCATGTTGCACAAGTCCTGCTCGGTGCAAGTGTCGAATGGATGACCTCCCTTGACTCCGGGATTGTCCCGATTGTGCCACATGCATTAAAATAAGGTCACCACAGCATATTCATTGAAGGACATCTTCACAGAACCTTGACGGACTTCACCATTGAGCTTCCCTAATGTCTGGGCATAGATCTTGCGGTGTGCGGACTCCACCGCAACGCAGTCCTTTGAATACTCTGAGGATGTTGGATCACAGCCTTTCTGAAAGACAGAGATGATCTGTTCTTCCGATGGCATCTCTGGGTAGCTTGCCAACTGTTTTGCAACTGTCGTGAACAGCTCCCCAGCACAGGAGTCGCTGCTGTTGGGAGAGGCCTTGTGAATCTGAACCAAGCTGGTCTCCACATCACACCCTGTTGCCTCGCACTCTGCCCGTCCAGCGCTCGCCAGCAGCCAGAGGGCCCACGGGAGCCACCGCGCCATCGACCGCCCGGGCCACACGCCGAGCCGAACGGGGCGCGACTTGGCGAAGGAACGGCATCGCGACGAAGAACGGGGCGCGACTCGGCATTACTGCAACTAAGAAGCGAACGTAGAGGCTACTAGGAACCAGCTGGCTATACTTTCATAATTAGTAACTACAAGAAGCTATACTATAGGAACAAAACAACAAGTGACCATTTTTCCGAGTTGGGCGGATGTTCCAAAGGCGACCGGAAAGACATCCCCCTTTTGGGTCCCCCCCTGTCGACCGATCGCGTCAAGAACATCCGTAGGGTATCCACATGATGTAGCAGCATGGCATTGGCTCACAACTTCAACTCAAAAGGGGCTCATTCACCGTTCCTTTTGGAAAGAATTCACGTTCCTTCACACCGTTCCCAGCCGGAATTCCACTCCTGAACGGCGCACCAAGCCCAGGCCGCGAAGCCCACGCACCGACGCCGCGTTCTCGGCCGGGCCTGGACGAAGCGGCGGTTGGATGACGTCGTACAACGAGTTGGGCGCTTTGTTTTCAGTCCCGATTTGGGTCATCTCAAAGATTCTTCAATGAAAACCCCTAAGGCCCAACTGGTGGAAGGAAGTCCACTCGGTGCCATCGTGGGGCCGACCACCCCACGGACCAGCGAGCTTGGTGCCCAAGACCAGCCCAGTGGCCGACGTTCCCACGGTGGGTTCACCGGGCTCCGCGACGTGTCCACGTGGGTTCCGGGGGCGGGGGACATCCGTGTGGGTTCCGTACCCCAAAAAGAATCCCATGCGTTATTGGATACAAAAAAACATCCAATTAAAACTCATGTCCATTCAAGTGGTCAAAGTCAACCTGTCCATTTGCGGTCGCAAAGCTGAGGTTCAGACTCCAGCCGCCGCGACAACGAAGCTCCGGCAGAAACCCAGCATTGGCTGGTCCAAAAGGATTTGCGAAGGCCGAACATGAGAACCCCTGGACCACAAGGATTCCACATCACATCAATTAGACACAGCACTTGCTTGAAGCTCAGGATATGGTCAAGCTTGGTCAATCAAGAGATGGGCATGACCAAGCCGAGTCCTCCTTTAAGAAGTATTATGTCAGTGTGTATATATATATATAGTATTTTCTGTATACAATACATCGTCTATGGCAGGTTATACATGCTGTCACATGTCTTGTAATGTAAAGCTTGAGAATACACTGTTGGGGACAGTGGTACCCCTGGTACCAGGTACAAACCTGAAACCTTGACCAGCTTTTTTAAACTCATGCGCAATCTGTCAAGCAGTCGTGCACTCAAGCGGGCACGGTCACTTCACGATGAAGACGCTGAATCCGAACTTTCTCACCCCGCCCATCACATGCTTGTGAATCTTTCCGCTGTGCTCCTCCACTGTTACTACAGCACCACCCTGAAATCTCTTAGTGGCGGCTCCAACTGGCAACCCGTCCCCGGCATCTTCTTTGAATGGCGATTCGCCCCGGTCCATGGCTGCAAACATATTGTTGACCATTTGATTTTGGGATTTGCCATCTAGCACGGGAATGGGCGCGGTGCTGTCGGCCTCCAGATCCTCATAGTCTTCCTCGTTCCTGCATTTCTTAATGCCATAGTCCTTGATGAGGTCCGATTTGAGCTTCGTGTATGTGGTCGTTTTGGTCAATAAGGCCTTCTCGCAACCCACAGAATAGCTATGTGATCGAACGAAATATTGGGGTTTCAGCAGCCCAGCCTTCACATAGCACTGGTAGTGAACGTAAAGTACACTTGAAGTCCACTGTGTCAAGGTCTTTGTGCCAGATCCGGAGATGGATCCGTGCTTGTTTTTGACCTCGTCATGGTTATCCTTCCTCTTTCCTGCTACTAACTACATGCCATGATAACCGAGTTGTGTTCAAGAAAAAAAGCATTCAAACCCTATGGCCCATGGCCTCCTCCACTTCCTTCACGCGGAGTTTACGGCCACACATGCTTGGTCCCTCTGCCTTCTCAAAGCGGACCGCAGACACGCTGGCCATCATGACCATCATTGCAACGAAAAGTCGAGTCATCAGAAATATAGGAAATCTGGCAAAACGCTAGGCTTTGAAGTTTGGACACGGCTGCAAATGTTTAGCTGCCATCACAGCTCCTGAAGGGTTTGTGGCAAAAAGATGCAAACGTCACCTTGGCATGCAAGTGTCATGACTTCCTCATATGTCCATGAGAGCATGTTTGCGTAGCTCCATTTTCTAATCAAGCTTCACTTACATTCACTTCATGCTATGTAAGTCCTTGTATGTCACGATGTAATGACGTAGTTGTAACATCTCGGTTAACTCGTCACGATGTGTCGTGGGCTAAGACTTACAATGGACTATACGATAGTACATCATAATTACATCACGATTACAGTAATTCTGTCTCGTTTCTCAAGTTCTGTCTGTCTCAGGAGGCAACAAGCCTCCATGTTCGCGGCAAAAAAATGCCACAGGAGGTCCGTGCAGTCGCTGCATGTCGAGCGTGCGCGGGCGGAGGCTGTTGGGGCGACCAACGGTGTTTCGCTGTTGGCGCCGGTCATCCGAGATGACGGGATCTTCGATGCGTCGAAGACCCCGTGTCACGTCTTGCTGTCGAAACCTTGTCTTTGTGACTTGGCGCTTTGGCTCAGCAAAGCCCAAAAAAACCTTCTCAAACGTTGCAAGATTTGCATGTATACCAGCAGTCACAAAGGGGTGCCTATTGGAGGTTAGGGGTGCCCATTATCCACTCACTTAGGGACTAAACACCACCCCTTTGTGACTGCTGGTAACAGAAAACTAAAGAAAACGAGCTGGAGAATGAAGATCACTGGAAGAACATGAACTACGCCGTAAGACTCATGGCTCTGTGCAGAAGTGTAAGTGCACGATGCTTGAAACATGGCCTTCACAGCTCCAAAGGCGTCCGGACCACGCTGACGCCTGCATGATTGACTCCTGGACTTAGTGTTATGGCGAGCCTGCGCAAAAGCTTAGGCGCAGAGGTCGTCGAATGAGGACATCGCATCATCATATGTCTCGCTCCGTAGACGAGACCGAGCGTCTTAGGATCTTACCAACTTCTCCGTCTCGTCTACGTCATCCACCTCCAACTTTAGAGTTCGTCACTTGAAGATTCCTTCACTTTCGTTCACTTTCGCTTGATGGGTGTCTTAATGAAGTCTTTTTTCTCCGCGTGGAGCCATCTGAATGGATCTTCGGGCAATTCTGTGCCACGTTGACGCCTGCGGCACTGGCGCTCACATGTGCAGGCCATGCCACATCAAACAGTGGGCAGAAACCAAGCTAACACTGTTGGATGTTGGATGTTATTTCTTTTGTAAACGATCGAGCATGCTTTTTGGCAACATGCGAATCAGCTTCAAAACAATCGAAATCTCTTGGCCACTCAGGTCACTTCTCGCGTCCCATGACACAACTCGGCGCGCGACTCAAGCGGACGAGGCCACTCAGGGGGAACCTGCTACGTGCGAGTCGCGCGCCGAGTTGGTACGCCGCGGCAGCCAGGTTGGAACACATGGGACATGGCAGGAAAACAGAGACGAGCCACGGCTGCTCCCCCTTCGAATCGGTTAACGGTTAAAGAAACAGAAGAAGTGACGGATACAGTATGATACAGCATACAGCTCAACAGAAGACCATCACGAAATGAACCACAAAAACAGAACCAAAACCCGCTGTTTTGCCTCGGCTTTTCCGAAGTGTCTTCCGTATCTGAGAAGGCGCACTCGGATCAGAAGGCGCGCCCTTCTTGGCTGTAAGTTCCTGTACTTCCCTGGTCGAACCCATGTCTACCTCAGCCGGTTCGACTAACCAGGAGCGAACGAACCGCGAATGAACTTCACCTTCTGCGAGCCGCGAACCGTATGCGTTGAAACCAGTGAACGCAAAGCAAGGGAAAAAAACCCTGAAAAACCACGACCTCTCTCTGCTGGGGCGACCCCTTATGCGTGTCGCGTCTCGTCTGGGTCCCGGGCAATCTGGAAGGACTCCAGGAAGGCCTCGCAACCGAGGTGACGTTCCTTCTTCCCTCCCATGGAGCCGCTTCGGAGAGCCCCTTATTTTGAACTAGACGACGGGTGGCCCGAGAGCGAGACATGTGATTGTCCAGCACTGTGGAAAAGATATATAGAAAGAGAGAAAGAAAGGATGGACGTGAAGGAGTGACAGTGTGGATGTGCAGGTGCGATACAGATGTGTAGATGTATGGAGGTGGAGAGGTAGATCTGTGGATGTGAGCGTGCGAAGATGTAAATGCACAGAGACGAGAGAAAAGATATGTAGAAAGAAAGAAATAAAGAAAGAAAGAAAGACAGGACAGATGTGAAGGAGCGACAGTGTGGGTGTACAGATGTGATATAGATGTGCAGATGCGTGGGTGTGGCGTGGTGGAGAGGTAGATCTGTGGATGTGAGGGTGTGAAGATGTAAATGTAGAGAGGTGAGGGGGTGTAGACGTAGATGCATCGATGCAACGGCAGCGCAACGTCAACCTTAGTTGTGCAAGTACAACGCTGAAGAGGTTCAAATAGAACTGAAGAACGTACATGTCACACTGAAGTTTCCACGAACAGGGCGACCTCGACTCGTGTATTTCAAGCGAACATCGTTTGTCATGAAGGTGAAGTACACACATACTAACGTCACGATGACTCTTTTGTAGCAGCCACTTATGAGTAAGCAAAGTAGCTAAAATTTGTCAACCTCTCAAGAGAGCCGGGCGGTCGGGAGACATGACTCAGCTGCAGGGGCGCCAGAGCAGCCGCGAGGGCTGACTCAGCCGCGAGAGATGCCTCATCCGCGTACTAAAGTTGCACTACAAAGTCGCCAGTCCTCAGCTTCCAGCTCCACAGCTTGCTCCGCGTACTAAAGTTGTACTACAAAGTCGCCAGTTCTCATCTTCCAGCTCCCCAGATACTCCGCGTACTAAAGTTGTACTACAACTTCGCCAGTTCTCATCTTCCAGCTCCCCAGATACTCCGCTAAAGTTGTACTACAAAGTCGCCAGTTCTCAGCTTCCAGCTCCACAGATTGCTCCGCGCACTAAAGTTGTACTACAAAGTCGCCAGTTCTCATCTTCCAGCTCGCCAGATACTCCGCGTACTCAAGTTGCACTACAAAGTCGCCAGTTCTCAGCTTCCAGCTCCACAGATTGCTCCGCAGAGTAAAGTTGTACTACAAAGTCGCCAGTTCTCATCTTCCAGCTCCCCAGATACTCCGCGTACTAAAGTTGCACTACAAAGTCGCCAGTTCTCATCTTCCAGCTGCCCAGATACTCCGCGTACTCAAGTTGTACTACAAAGTCGCCAGTTCTCAGCTTCCAGCTCCACAGCTTGCTCCGCGTACTAAAGTTGCACTACAAAGTCGCCAGTTCTCATCTTCCTGTACTAGAAAGTCGCCAGCTCAAAGCGCACTCTCGCCTGCATTTCGTGCACTCGACACGCACGATCCCCGCAGAGGGTTGCCCGCGACCGGGGCAAATCGCACTCTCGCCTGCATTTCGCGCCCTCGACACGCACGATCTCCGCACAGGTTTGCCCGCGACAAAACCAAATCCCCCTCTCGCCTGCATTTCGCGCACTCGACACGCACGATCTCAGCAGCCCGCGACAAAACCAAAGCGCACTCTCGCCTGCATTTCGCGCACTCGACACGCACGATCTCCGCAGAGGGTTGCCTGCGACAAAGCCAAATCGCACTCTCGCCTGCATTTCGCGCGCTCGACACGCGCGATCTCCGCAGAGGGTTGCGCGCGACCGGGACAAATCGCACTCTCACCTGCATTTCGCGCACTCGACACGCACGATCTCCGCAGAGGGTTGCCCGCGACCGGGACAAATCGCACTCTCGTCTGCATTTCGCGCACTCGACACGCACGATCTCCGCAGAGGGTTGCCCGCGACAAAACCAAATCGCACTCTC